GTTGAAATCCTCAGATGTAAGTGCTATGCCCATGTGATGTTCACTTTTTTTTCCCTGTCTTTTGTCTTTGCCCATGTTTCCTCTTCTATCTAGAATTATCTTTCTCTCCCTCTGTCTCTTTTTCTCCTACTTTTTCTTTAAGGACAAGCTTAGATTTCCCCTCTCCCGGAAACTTCTATTTCGATAACCCTAAGCATTCCAGCCTTCTTTGATAATTCCTTCCCTGAAAATGTAGAGAGATAAATCCTTATATACAAATAACTTGAATGCTTACTATGCTTATTTTGTCTTCCTCACCAAATTGTATGTTTGCAGAGAACAAAGCATATTTATGATCCATAGCAACTATAATAGTACTAGTTGAGAGAAAACAATCAACAACACATATTCATGATCCATAGTAACTATAATAGTACTAGTTGAGAGAAAACAATCAATAAAAACTGATTAGTTATTGATATATGTGGAATTAGTCACCAAAGGACAAATATTTTGAGACGTCCTAGACTTTAAAACCTGAAAGCTATTTACAGTATTTAAATATTCCATTTTGTATTAGACTAAGCCTTAGAGCCTTGAGGCTTGATTCAAGTCTCACTCTTCACACTTGTATCTTCCACCCGCTATTTTTTTAAAAAGTTTTAAAATACTATATCAAACAGAGGCTGCCCTTAGCTTGAATAATTCAGATAATAGTCTATGATTTAAATTCCAGATACAGGCATATATTTTGTGAAGCTCGGCTTAATAAAATAAACATAAGATTTTTCGTGTGAAACCAGAAAGAGTTAGAATTAGAGGGAGACAGTAATAATTTTGCTTAAATATTTAACTTCATAGACGGGGAAAGAAAAGAGTCAGAGAGATAAGTGAATTTGCAAAGGTTGCCCAAGTCAGATGCCATAGTAAGACTGCTGCCCACGCTCTTGAGTCCCCTTTTCAGTACTTGGTTCCACGTCTACCCTGTGGACCATTTCTCTTGTCTTTGGGCCACTTCAAGAGAAAAATCATGAACATTCCACACAGACTATGAATTTTAAAAGAAATGACACCCGCTCAAGCTCTCCTGATCAGCAGAAATAGGAAACGTAAGAATGTTTCTGAAAATCAGGGAAGATTTAGAGCAGTATCTCACACAGACTGAAACTCAATTCTATAACTGGAAGGATACCAAAAGACCTTCTCTCAGTAACTTCACTCTCATTAAACCAGTGCCATTACTGTTCCAGATCCCTGTTCCTCCTCTGCATCTCTGTCCTCAATGCCTCTTGTTAGAAAGGTGCTAATTCTTTCCACTCAGGATGTAATTCTTTACTACACCCCCTACTCCTCTGGCTTATCCTTCTATCTGTTTCTTCCTGTCCTTGTCGCAATACCTCATGATATTTAATGGCCCTGATTCTGTATCCTTTATCCTATGTTTTGACACCGATTCTACATCTTAGTATTTATCTAGGTATCCCATTTCATGATCCATCACTAAATAATTTTTTTCCTAATTAAAATTTTGAAAGAGATTTAAACTGGCTCAATTCATCCTTATAACACTAAATTACATCATGGGTCATTTGCTACCTTATAGATTGCTGCTGTTGGATAAGTTATCTGTTTGACTAAACAACGATAGTAATGTGTGAGGCTGTTTCACCTAAAAACTCCTCAGGTGTAGCAGATAATGTTATCAACATAATTAGCACATACAATCATGAACAAGAATCAATGTAATAGTATTTAGAGTAGTGTCTTATTTATAGTTATATAGAGATATTGTTATTACCATTTTTTGATAGAGTTTATCTCAATTTTTTGAAGATTACCTCAACTATCTTTTTTCTCCATGTGCTTTCAGTACATTTCTTTCAGTATTTCTAGGGAGATCTGAATTCAAGAAGTAAAAAGGGTATTGTTTAAAAGAAAGTTTGGTTAGCAAGTTTTCCAACTATTAAAGCTTTCATGAGTAATTGAAGTTGATTTTTATTTCATGCAATTCTTTCTTCTATCACACACCAGACAAAATAATGAATCTTTTATTATTCTCTTTTATATAAAAGTTGGAAGGATAATGCACCAGAAAAAAAGCATTTAAATCCCATTAAACCCTGTGGCCCCATGTACTTCCCCACGCCCCGCCCCCCCGCTCACACCAGCGCACACATACACACACACACTTTGAGCTTCTTGAGACTACCTTAACCATGCTCTCATCCCAAAGTACAAAGGCACAGATTATCAAGACCCACATGCACCTCTGTCTTGAGCCATAGTACCTCATGATCCCCTGATCCCACCTTCAGCTCTTCTTCATCCTTAACATTCTTCCCCTGTGGGCCATGGAACTGATGTTACACCCACCCACCAGCAAACTTTAAACTTAGCTCAAACCAGTTTATTCCTTGCAAAGAAATTCTACTTGGTTTAGTCAATACTTTCCTCCACTGTCTAAAACAGTCTTTCAAACCTTCTGTCCTTTCTACAAAACCTCAACACCCACTTCATTTTTCCTTTCTCTCTCAACAGCCAGTGCTTCAAAACAAAACAGAGGTTTACAGAATACAGCTCCCTCACTTGCATATTTCGACACCTATAAGCTTATCAGAATCAGTGTTCTTTTTTTTTTCTTTCTTTTTCAACTTGTGAAGTAGAGAAGGGATCTCTTCTCTTCTGTGAAACAGATTGCCATTGCTGACTTGCACCTCATTTCCTCCAATTTGGTAAAAAATTGAATATCTGTGATGTCTTTTAATACATTCAAATTCTTCCACTCAAATGGATCCCCTATTAATATTTTAAAATGTTCATGTCACTCTCATTCAAAAACAAAACTCTTCTTTCTACCCTATAGATTTTCCCACATCCACCACTGTACCCTGTTTTCTCACTTTACAAAACCAAAATCTCAAAAGAACTCTTTATTCTTGTTTTCACCCTCACTTCTTAACCCATTTCCCTCTGATTTTTGTTGCTCAGTGCTAAACCACATATTTTCTTATCAGCTACTGAAAATACAGGTTCGCCAGTGTAATAAGACAAAGACCAGAGTCTTTAACAAGTCATCTAACTCCCTGCTTAGTGTGGTCCCTGCATTTCCACAGCCTCACCTGACACAGCTCTCTCCCTTGCCTTCTGCCCTCCATTCCTTTCCATAGAAGGCATTTGCATATGTTTTTCTCATCACTCCAATTCACTCTCCCTGACCCACCTCCAGTCTTTCCCTAGTCGATGAGGACTCAAATTTCAGATATCAAGTGAGTAAAATACCACTTCATCTGGGGAACCATCCTTAATCCTCCAGATTAGGTCATCTTCTTCCTTCATAGGACTACTTCAACTTGTCATTTTAAATTTGTATGAATATTTGATTAATACCTGTCTCCCCTATTATAATTTCACAAGGGCTTGCAACTAATCTTTTATTCACCATTACTTCTTAACACCCAGCCAAATGTTAGGCACATACCAGTAGCTCAACAAGCATTTGTTGAATGTGTGAATGAAGTTAAACTTTTCTGAGGTACAGGATGACATTTAATAATTTCACTGCAGATTATGCTTTGGACAGTTGCTGTCTTCGATGGTGTATGCAATCATGGCACTAAACTTATATTTCTATAAAGTCACATATTTTGTACCAAATTTCTTTTGCGTACAGTTATTTGAGCCTAGTATTTTAGAAAGAAAATATCAGGAAATAAATATTTCATAAATATCTTCTGACAGATGTTTAGATCTTAATAACGTTTCCTTTATTAATCCAGAGAGAAATTCTGACACAGTACTGAGGTTATTGCCTGAATCAAAGCAAATATATTTGAAAGGCTGACCCAGTGGAGGGAGAAAAAAAATGACTTGATGTTGTAAACACTTTCCCAAGGAGACCAAGGCTATTATCCATCATTATTTGGTAAAGGGAGTCAATTAACTGCATTCACATGTAAAAGATTTCTTTACAAAAAGCTCACAAGGACTGTTACAGTGTTGGAAGAAAGAAAGGGAAGAAGAAAGAAAGACTTCAGACCTCTAACCAAGAGTAGTTGTGAACATTTTATGTGCTCTGAATTAATTTATCCGTGCTCTCTTTAAAATGTAATTGCTACTTATTTTTAGAAAAAAGCAAGTTCTATATTTCTACAAAATATTATACAGCACAATGTGACTATAGAGAGCACAGAGAAAAGGAGGATGGAATAAAAATGATAAAAAACTGCATTTTTAACAATTATTTTTCTTGGTGTAGCTATTTTTTAACTCTGGTTGGAATACAATTATCTCACTCCACTGTACAGTTATTAAATTACCTAATTTATTTCATTAAAATTTTCTTGGTAGCTTTTCTGAGATGTGAGAATTTATACATAAATTACAAAAAAAAAATAAAATCCTTTCTTAGTTATCCCAAGAGCAAAAACAAAACCAGCCATAGAAGGGGGTTTTATTATTTACTATTAATTTCTGTACAGAGCAGAGGACTCTAGTACAAGGTTAGAGTAAATACATTTATTTATTTCTGCAACAGGCATTTAGGCTTCTGTATCATCGTAATGTTTTAAAGGAAAGATATGTAGTACATAATATAATTTTATGAACATCATATTTCTATGCATCCTACTGGTAAAACTGTGAGAGCTTCAGGTGATAGGATAAAAGGGATATAGAATATATGAAAAGTCCACACTAAGTAAATTCTTAGACAAATGCTTCCTAAATGTTAGGACTTTTGTTAAAAGCTGTGCTTACATGCCTGCTTTTGAACTTCTCACATGAAAAGGGGTTTTGAAAGAAGCTTAGCAGATAGTGGGTGTAGCCAAGGCAACTCACAAAATGTGTCTGTGGGCAAGCAGATTTGCCTTCAGGCCATGATTAGCAAACAAAATAAAACAAACAGATTTAAAAGGTGGCATGCTTGAAAAATATCAAAACACAAAAGAATCAGAGAAAAAATATACATCTGAAGTGTACTTCATAATATGGAAACGTTATATAAACTTTTGTGATATCTAACAATGTTTGCGACAGGGAATTCTGCCAATGTGTCAGTGGTGGACCTGACCCGCCATCTGGAAAAACCTGCCAAATATGATGACATCAAAAAGGTGGTGAACCAGGCATTGGAGGGCCTCCTCAAGGACATCCTGGGCTACACTGAGCACCAGGTTGTCTCCTCCGACTTCAACAGCGACATCCACTCTTCCACCTTCAATGCTGGGGCTGGCATTGCTCTCAATGACCACTTTGTCAAGCTCATTTCCTGGTATGACAATGAATTTGGCTACACCAACAGGGTGGTGGACCTCATGGTCCACATGGCCTCCAAAAAGTAAGACCCCTGGACCACCAGCCCCAGCAAGAGCACGAGAGGAAGAGAGAGGCCCTCATTGCTGGGGAGTCCCTGCCACACTCAGTCCCCCACCACACTGAGAATCTCCCCTCCTCACAGTTTCCATGAAGACCCCCTGAAAATGGAGGGGCCTAGGGAATCCCACCTCGTCACGTACCATCAATAAAGTCCCTTGTGCTCAGCCAATAACAATAATAATAATAATACAGGTATAAAGTATTATTGAAAAATGCTAAGAGAGTGGATGTTGTTTGTAGCACAAAATACAACTCTACTAGGTAATGTGTATATTAATTGGCTAGACTTAGTCATTTCACAATGTATAGATACAAAGAAACTTTATGTTGTGCATAATAAATGTGTATAATTTTATCAGTCAATTAAAAATCATAATAAACAAATTTACTAATGGTAATATAATAAAGTAATGTTTAAGCAGGACATTCAGCACTTATAATTTCTGTGTGTGAGTATCTAAAATTTTTCATCTTGAATGATACAGAGTTACCACGTCATACTGAATGACACAGAATATCTTCTGTACTCCTAATTTCCCTGTTATCTTAGTAATAGATCCAAATAGGTATAAGAGTGTCCCTGTTTCTTTCACCTAAATGAAACTTATTAAACACAGATAACATTACATACATGAAAAAAGAGAAAAAAAATACTAATATTGGGAAATGTAAAGAAGAGCTAGAAATAAGACATTAAAAGACCTTGTATTTTATTAAAAACTCTTGTGAATGAGGGATGGTCTAAAATTTTGAGTCTGATCCTTCTAGTAGATCAAGTTACCAAGTGTATGGTCTGTAGTATGAAACTAACGAATTTCTAGGAAGAAGTGCTAATATACTCTGAACTAACTGCAAACAGATCACGTAGGATTCTCTCAAAGAGAACATTCTGTAATTCAATGTATATGTTTCCCATGTGAATTTCAATAATAGAAAATGTGGCAAGTTGCAAAGGGCTGTTTCTTATGTTCATATAAAGGCCTATAATCAGGCATAAAAAAGTATTCTATAGCAATTAAATATAATGTGGTCCTTCAATCTGTTGATTTGACTTCACCTAGGAATAAACTTTGAATTATCTGAAAAAGTAAATGCACTAAATATCCTTTGAGTAACCCTGACTGTATACTCTTTCTCTCAGAAGAGATTTTTAGTAAATATATATTTGATAAATACAATTCTTGATGAATAATGAGGGTGAAGCTCTCTTACTGGAACAAGATTGAAAACGTTTTGTCTGAAAATAAAGGCCACTTATTTTCCATACTCAAGTGATTTTTAAAATGTATTCCCAAGACGTTTTTGAAAACTAATATATAGATAAAAAAACTAATTGATGTTTCAAAGGTATACTCAGAGTAGCATGGTTAACAACTACAACTACGACAAAAAACGACAAACAAACAAACAAACAAAAAACAAACCCATAAACACACAAAGGAAAGAAAAGAAATACTAAAAGCATCAATGGAACCCAGCAAAGCTACTTTTGGAATAGCTTGCTGAATAAACATTTTGTGACATTTATGCTGGTGAGGTTTATTATTGTATGAGACTTCAATTGATTTCAATCCAAATCAAATATAGATTTAAAATATTTGATGAAATATATGCCTATATTATAGATAATGTCTGCTTATTTATTTTCCAATTTAAGCATAACTCTTAATAAATTTTAAAACAATTTTAACATGCCTTTGACCTGTAATGAACAACTACAGAACCTGAAAGATGATTAAAGATTCAGTAGTAGCATAAGTAATATTTGTGGTAAAATATTGACTTAAAAATAATGTAAACTACATTAAAGCTACTTAAATAGGACATGGGAGTGGGGGAAGACACAAGGTCTAAATACTTTTCAATATTTTATCTTACAGAAATATTTTTGTATTGAAATAATTATATTTAAATTTAGATTTTGTGATTAAAATTAATTTAAAGTTATGAACTATAAAACCACCATAGGAAAGAGGATAATGTTTCGATAGTTACTTGTTAATGTAACAGTTTATAAAATAAAAAGTAACCCACAGTATAGGATTTTTCACATTTACGAAGTGTCAGGTGTTTACTTCTTTATCAATATCGCCTACATTTTTGTTATTTAACATCTTTGCCCGATTCCCACTGTAATCAAGTGTACTTCCATGCAGTCAAGTTAGTACCCAGCTTAGTTTGAGGTTAAATGTAAAAAGCTTTGACATTTTCAGTTCTCAGAGTTCTCTTGCAGAAGCCTTTGTTCTGACCTTTCACCCACCCACTAAAAATTTGGAATTATCCATACTAATCCTGGAATTCTGGTCATTAAAAGAAAAAAAATTGTGTATATCATTCTCTGCATCAATTTCAAAAGTTATTCTTCACACCAATATTTAGAGATGCAGTTGAAGCTTAAAAATATTCAACTGGGCATATAATTTTATAAAAATATAGCATTCTAAAAGGAATCGAGAATCATGTAAAATTTAACCTATTTTTACAGATCTATAAGCCCATATAAAATATTTAGTTTTCTGTGTACATTCCCTTATCTACTTAATGACACTGTATTGCGCTGATTTTGTCTTTTTCCTTCATTAGCCTATATAGTCTTCGTGAGAGTAAATGAAACGAATCATGTCTTAAATATCGACTTCTATTGTTATTTTGAATCTTCCTAAGGGTATAGATCAAGGTTTATTCATTCTTACCTTACCTTCTGTTTTAGCATTTAAGACAGTTCATAGTAGACATTGGAAGATTGGTTAAATTGCTATTTAAATAACCTAGAATACAATTGTTTAAGTAATTTACCAACCTTTGCAAAGCTGAATTATAGTTGTGTATTCTGTCAATAATACATAATATTAAGGTTCAGAGATGTGTTCTTTTCTTTATTCAGCTTTTCCTATATTCTAGAAAATTTCACCTTGTTCATAATAATTTCTTAGAAACTCTTGTGTTTTTTGTGTGTGTGTGTGTTTTTTTTTTTTAGATGGAGTCTTGCTCTGTCACCAGGCTGGAGTGCAGTGGCGCGATCCCGGCTCACTGCAACCTCTGCCTCCCAGGTTCGAGCTATTCCCCTGCCTCAGCCTCCCGAGTAGCTGGGATTACAGGCACGTGCCACCATGCCTGGCAAATTTTTTTTTTAATTTTTTTTTTATTTTAGTAGAGACCGGGTTTCACCATGTTGGCCAGGATGGTCTCGATCTCCTGACCTCGTGATCCACCTGCCTCGGCCTCCCAAAATGCTGAGATTACAGGCATGAGCCACCAGGCCCGGCTGATATTATGGACTAAATTGTGTCTGTCCCCAAATTACATATTTAAGTTCTAACCCTCAATGTGGTTATATTCGGGCATGACACATTTAAAAAGTGATTATGATTAATGAAGTAATAAGTGCATATCCTTAATCTAATATGACTGATGTCTTCATAAGAAGAGGAAGAGATGTCAGGGATATGCAAACACCCCTGTGAAGATGCAATTAGAAGGTGACCGTTTGCAAATAGAGAAGAGAGGCCTGAGGAGAATCCACACCTGCCAACATCTTGATCTTGGACTTCCAGTTTCCAGAACTGTTAGAAAATAAATTTCAGTTGTCTAAGTCTTCTAGTCTACAGCTTTCATTACGGCAGCCCTTGCAAATTAGTACAGTTAGTTTGGGCCAGCTCACAGAATTTAACTCTAAAGTGAAAGCTGGCAAAAAAATTCAAAATTTTACGAGTGAAATTTTTAAAATTATCTAATTTTAAACACTTCCTTATTTTTGAGCAGGCCATTTTTTCAAAGATAAAAACAAAGCAATATATTTTAATTTACAGAAGAGCAACTTATGTTAACTGAAGAAAATGCTTACTGAATGTGAAGTTAAAGTAAAATGTGTTAAAAGAGACTTCCTTAAATTATTTTAGCTAGAAGCATAAATCTGCCTCTAAACATTCTATGATAGCATAATGAATATAAATAGCATATTATGCCATTATAAATAACAGTTTTAAATGATATGATTAATAACTGTTAGTTCTGGAGCCATATGTTAATCTTTGTGGAAGCAGAAGCTGGCTCATATACTGACAACCTCTGTTTGCCCTACTAATAATTCAACCCCTAGTTGCTATTGTCACATTGAACTACAAGTTCCTAACAGAAATTACTCCAGAATCTAGGAAATGAAACAGATGCTAACATTTCAAGAAAGCCTTCAGAACAAGAACATTAAAGAAATCATTTTCATGTAGTGCTTGGAATAAATCGAATCTGCCGGTATTTCATGTGCTTAAGTGATCATAGCTTTCCAGCCAGTGAGTATCTTTAAAAGAGAGGTTTCTGTCTTTCATATCACGTATTATTTTGATTAACGTAATCATTTAATAAACTAGATCTGGAAGAAGTCAAAGTTCTTTTATAAGATTATGACATAATATTAATAATTAACATCTTAGAAAAATCTCTTATTTACTGAACCACTGTTGTTTTTCAAAGAATAAGGAAAACATTATGATAAACCTCATTAAAAGAATACTTTATATAGTCTAATAGTTATAATTATATTTCTTCTTCTTTTGTATTTTTTTCAAAAGAAATTTTTTTTTGAGTTTTTTAAAAGAACGCATTAAAGCCAGTTATAAATTCTTGTCCACTACTGCCAGGAAAAACAATATATCAATACAGCCTCATGCAATTTATTTTGGAAGTCCAAAATCAATGGTAAATATTATAATATGAATTTACATTTCAGAAAAATATATGTTCAAGTGCATTGTGAGTGAAAAAAAAAAGAATTTTGAAATATGCATGTAAGAGATGTACTCTTCTGAGAGTAGAGGTGTGGGGAAGGTTAGGTTCAGAACAGAGGAAGAAAGTGAATTTTTAATATCTAGTCTTGATCTATTTACACACAAATACAGAAATAATCCACGTCTAGAGTTTTATTTTCCAATAGATTTAACATATCTGAATATTGGATACTTTGCGTGAGTTTTGTGAAAAGATTGAGTTAAAGATTTCAACGCCTTTGAGAATTTCCTTTGAACACACTAACGGGTGTCTGTGAATACTGGCTTATTATATCATGGCTCTTTTATAAGAATTTACATGTTGCCTTTCTTAGCTGGAACTATATGTGCCAGGAATAGGTTAATCCTTAGGGTTACATAGATCAGCAGCGAGACTTCCCACATG